GGATCCGCATAGCAACCTTTGGTACAGAGCAGTATTACCATCTCTAAATTCCCTTGTGCAGCGGCCAGGTGAAGGCATGTCCGTCCTTCATGGCTAGCAGCATTTATGGATGATGGTTGTAACGCCAGCAACCACTCGACAACATCTGCATCAAAAGTTATTTCTTATGTTAAAAGCACTTGAAAAAACAGTTTTTGCTATTTGGCTACCTTTACTCCCTGATTGTACAGCTTCATGTACGGGCAAGTCACCGCGATAGTTCTGAATTTCAAAAGTAGCGTTGTACTGTTTGAGTAGTTTGAGCATGCGCATTTGTCCTTTTGCTGCTGCACAATGTGAAGGAGTTCGTAGTCGGTGGTCCTGAGGGAGATGCGTTTAGCATTTCTTATAACATTTAATGTTCAGTTTCTTTTTTGTAAGGAAGAATGTCACTTTTGTCAGCGAAATCGCATGACATTTGGCAATTCATAAATATTATCTACTTTCTTCAATATCTTATGAAGAGATAATGATCACAGAAAGAAACAAACTATACATACAGCAATTTTAATCATACGTTTGGTGGTAATTACAATCCATCAATACTGTATCAGTAAAATGCATTATAGCTTTGTGCTGAGTTATTTTATGCCTATTATATGGAAGCGATTTTCCAAACCTGGTGATTAGGATTAGCGCCATAGTCGAGAAGTCGTTTCGCTACTTCATAGTGCCCATAAGTAACCGCATAGAACAAAGCGGTATGCCCTGCTCGGTCCTTTTGATCGACAGAAAAGTTTGGGACAGCGTCCATGATGAAATCAATGGTCTAAAATAGCTCGTGTTGTTCGCAACCTAGTCAGAAACAGATGTTAAAAGTTGGTTGCGTTTATTTGCATCTGTATAGTTTTCTAAGTATGCTCATGATTAAGTTTGTTACATATTGAATACTTGAAAGCGGTTCGTCTACACGTGGGTTGCTGTTTCTAGCACGATTCCAGTTCTTTGCTATTGCACTGTGTATGTAGCAACCACTCGAACAGATAAGCGCAAAAGTTGGATTTAAAATGTAATGTAAAATCTCTTGCATAAACATAAGATTGAGATAGTAGGAACTTCAAAAAAAGTTCCTCATGTACATATAGACAACGCTATAAGGAGTTATAAACAAATTTTTTTGAAGCTCCAATTTTAGGAGAAGACTGAAATCACCAGGCTTTCGGCATATAATTTGAGTAAAGGCGCTGTTCTGCATCGGAATGTGAGGATAGTCGAGCAGTTATTGAAAATAAAAAAAGACAAGACGTTTGCAACATACCTCATGATATCCATGGCTAGCTGCACAGTGGATAACCCCGAGGTTATCTCGGTCTACAGCCATTAGATCGCCGCCTGCTTGCCGAAGAGAATGCATTGCTT